ATATATATGTATGTATGTATGTATGTATGTATGTATGTGTATATATATATATATGTATGTGTATGTATGTATGTGTATATATGTATGTATATGTATGTATGTATGTGTATATATATATGTATATGTGTGTGTGTATATATATATGTGTGTGTGTGTATGTATATATATATATATATATATGTGTGTGTGTATGTATATATGTGTGTGTGTATTAGTTTTATTATACAGTATTTATAAAGCGCCAATAGTTCGCTCAGTGCTGTACATTACAAAGGGGGACAGAACATGTGACAGAACAATACCAATACAATGCAAAAACAATGCCCTGCAAAATATATGAGGTGATAGAGGGCCCTGCTCTTTTGTGTGTGTGTGTGTGTGTGTGTGTATACACATTTTATAATCTCAGGGGTGTGGAAATATTTAAAAAAAAACTACTTGTCCAGGGACTAAATCGGGCTTCCGAACAACTTGTTCCTCATGACAATCTGCTTGCCCTGATGATAAAAAAAAAACCTATTTTTGCCAGGATGGAAAATACAAAGGGTTGATGTTTTTTTTTTTATTAGGCAAAGGTGCTTTTAGGGTTGTCTGGGGCTTTTAAAAACAAAAGGGTCTTTATGGCGGCTTAATCTGCTATACATTTCTTAGAACCCCCAAACATTTTATATATATATATATATATATATATATATATATATATATATATATATATACCGTATATATAATTTTTTTTTTTTTTTAAGCTGAGGGCCTAGAGAATAAACTGATGGGTTTTGCATTTGTTTTAATGTAACACGGTATGTGCGCAGCAGTTTTTCAAACGCAATTTAAAAAAAAAAATACACTTTTTAAATTTTAATGCAAAAAAAAAATACTAAACACAATTTTTGGGTAAAATCTAAAAGATGATGTTACTCTGAGTAAATAGATACCAAACATGCTTTAAAATTGCGCACGGCCATGCAGCAGCAACAAACAATGTATATTTTCCTATCCATAGGCTATGCTTTGAAAGTCTCTACAGGTTACCACCTTAGATTTACAGAGGAGGCCTGGTGCTAGAATTACTGCCCATGAGCTGAAATTCTCCATGATGCATCAGGTGTGGATCGATGCATGCGGTCGCCTTTGCACGCGGGGATGGGGGTGCTTTAAAAAAAAATTTTCATTATTTTAACCCTGTCGCCTCTAATTGTTTTCTTTTTTTGATCACTTTTATTGCTGTCACAAGGAATGTAAACATCCCTTGTAACAGCAATAGGCAGTGACAGGTGCTCTTTATATAGAGAGATCTGGGGTCAATAAGACCCCAGATTCCTCCTCTGCCTTTAAAAGCATTTGATTACACAAGATCAGTGTGATCAACTGCTTTCCATTTTTAAAAATGGCGCCATTTACATTCTGGAAAACTGGAAATGATGTACGCCCATTGCTTTCTGTTTTCTATATCATAGAGCGGAAACACCAGATGGCCGAAAGGGTGTCCTTGTGCGACAGGACAGCCTACGGAAAGGGGGGAGGTCTCCTCCCGCTGCTTGTAAAAGCAATCCAGTGGCTAGTTAGCTGTTTGGATTACTTTTACAAGAGAGCCAACCATTGGCTCTAATTCCTGCTGCTTGCCTGCAGCAGGGCTAAATATAAGGAAAAACCTCTTGCCCAGCGCCCAGAACTGCATGGCCTGGGCATCGGGCTATAGGAATTGCACATGTATATACACCATGCCTTGAAAAAGTATTCATACCCCTTGAAATTTTCCACATTTTGTCATGTTACAACCAAAAACATAAATGTATTTTATTGGGGTTTTATGTGATAGACTAACACAAAGTGGCACATGATTATAAAGTGGAAGGAAAGTGATAAATGGGTTTCAAAATTTTTTACAAATATCTGAAAAGTGCGGTGCACATTTGTATTCAGCCCCCTTTACTCTGATACCCCTAACTAGAATCTAGTGGAACCAATTGCCTTCAGAAGTTACCTAATTAGTAAATACAGTCCACCTGTATGTAATTTAATCTCAGTATAAATACAGCTGTTCTGTGAAGCCCTCAGAGGTTTGTTAGAGAACATTAGTGAACAAACAGCATCATGAAGGCCAAGGGACACCAGAGAGGCCAGGGATAAAGTTGTGGAGACGTTTAAAGCAGGGTTAAGATATAGAAAAAAAATCCCAAGCTTTCAAGAGTATAGCACAACTTCAAACCTACCAAAACATGGCCATCCACCTAAATTGACAGGCGAAGCAAGGAGAGTATTAATCAGAGAAGTAGCCAAGAGGCCCCTGGTAAAACTCTGGAGGAGCCGTAGAGATCCACAGCTCAGGTGGGAGAATCTGTCCACAGGACAGCTATTAGTCGTGCATTCTACAAATCTGGCCTTTATGGAAGAGTGGCAAGAAGAAAGCCATTGTTGAAAGAAAGCCATAAGAAGTCCTGTTTGCAGTTTGCCACTTGCACATGGCCAAATCATTGCGATTGCTAAATTCCTGCTAAAGATTTTGAGGATTCTTGCTGCTGGAATGACCAGGTTATGCATTCTTCAGAGGCTGCTCAGCCCATTTAAACAAATGGCTGTCTGACGATAGCTGCTGCTGATCACATGCTGCCACACACAGTGATTAGCTGTGGTTTTGGACAGATGTCCGAGCCTGGACACAATCATTCCTGCTGCAGGAATCCACAATCGCAACAAATCTGCGACGTGACAGGGGCCATATCCATTAAAATATTATATTCATTTCTCCAGCTACTATGCAAGACCAGCAGACATTAATGTTTTGGCCAACGAATAGTACTTGAATCATATGTTGAGGCAAATGTAGACCTTTTAGAGCATCACCACATTAAAGTTGAACTTCATTCTCCCCCACCTTACCTTATTTTGCTAGGTTATGCAAAAAAATCTTGCTAACACTCCCAGCGATCCAGTGGTGTTCTGTAGGGAACCTCTGCTGCTCACCAGTCACCATCATCTTCTTTGATGTCAGAGGCTAGCTGTTTCTCCTGGTTTTTGCAAATGGTCTCCTGATGATGCCCTATGGCAGGGGTCTGCAACCTTTAAGACATAAAGTGCCACTTGGACTCGTTTCCGAGAGGGAAAAAAAGACTGGGAGCCGCAAAACCATTGCAACATTTAAAACAAATCCGACACTGCATATATTGCAAAAAGCGCTCTGGTCATGAAGGGGGTTTAAGGGCCCAGTAAGCAAAGGGTTAATCAGGGCCACAGTGTATCGTCATAATCACAATCATAGCCTTAGGTCAGTGGTGGGCAACCTTTTTTTTCAACTGAGCCAAATCTCGCCAAAACCACGATTGAAATTTATTTTGAGAGCCACATTTTTAAAACTGAAAATACATCCCCCATATAGTAATTCATCCCCCATATAGTAATTCATCCCCCATATAGTAATTCATCCCCCATATATAATTCATCCCCCCTATAGTAATTCATTCCCCATATTGTGTCAATTCACTTACCTTTGCTCCGCGCGTTCCTCTCGCCGTGTTCCCGCGCCGTTCCGGTCTTCAGGGCGGACTGTGAGAGGAGAGGAGTTCATCACGCTGCCCCGCCTACATCCTGACAGCCAATGTTTGCCACGCTCCGCAGGCTGGATTAAAAGGTCCGCCGGGCCGTATACGGCCCGCGGGCCGTAGTTTGCCCATTGCTGGGCTAGCTGCAGAGTCCTGACTTTTGGGGCGGCCGCCCGAGAGGAGGGAGGGGAGCGGGCGCCCGGCACACAGAAGAGCCGCATTAAAATGTGTAAATAGCCGCGGCTTGTCAACCACTGAGCTAAGGCAACCCTATTGCCTGTCACCTGGTGCGCAGTGTGCTCCGGAGCAGCAGCAAAGGTGAAAAAGAGCCGCATGCGGCTCTGCCGCGGGTTGCCGACACCCGCCCTATGGCATATACATCATCGGGGCCATCTTCAAAAGACAGCCAACCCACTGAAGATATGCTACAGCTGATATGTTGTAGAGTACCCTGAGGCCTCCTGGGATATGTGATGTAAGTGTCCAGGGAGCCTGTGGTTATCAAATATATCATCCTCACCTAAGCGAGAATCCAGGAAGTTTAGGACGGGTTCCCCGCAACAACGAAAAAAAAAAAACTGTAGATGACTGTAGGTTGGTGGGGAGGGTGAAGGTCCACTTTAATGAGTGTTCACATGGGTGATAGCTTGCATTTTGTCTATTTTGCCTCCTCATTTTGAATGGGCTGGCAAAGTGTCATATTGCAGGTTATAATTGTCTCTCAGCTATTTTCTTTCAAGGTAGTATGCTATAATGCACAGATGATTCGTATCTGTATGTAGTGGTGTACTAAAGCGCAATTTGTTGTCATGTACTTGCTAGGGGGTTCAAGATGTCATTCAGATTGAAGGATACTTGAACATACTTTACTTGTTTCATGCATAAAGGCAATGCACAGGTGTGATACCATTTTGATGTTCAAACAAGCACTGTATAAGCCTACATGTTGGCATCATTGTAAAATTTATGTTTGGCATGGTCCCTAATCCAAGCATAAACATCCACATTTGGAGAATATTGTCTGTCTCAAGGCCAAGGTATCGATAATGCTTATAGGAGTACTTTTGTTATTACTGAAATACTGTATAAATCTGGCCATACACGGAGCTCATTTGTGCCAGTTCCTAAAGAACCAGCTGAAATCTCAGTCATGAATGGCCCTGTGACTTCCTCCTGACAACCTTTGATTTGAAAAGTGAAGGAGCAAGGCAGACAACTTTTGGCCAAAGAGCTCCTACACCCTATCAGATGCAGCCACCCTCTGAGTATTCTCATAGGTGCCAGCTTTCAGAATACAATATCCTAGAGCAGGGCTTAAAATTTCAAGCCCTAGCCAGGCCTTAAGAGTTACTTGCCACCAACAAACCGAGACACCTGTACACACACACACACAGACCTGTACGTACACACACACACACACACACACACACACACACACACGTATACACAGACACATGTACATACATACACAGACATATACATACATACACATGTACATACATACACAAACACATGTACGTAAATACATACGTACATACATACACAGACACATGTGCACACAGACACATGTACGTACATACACACACAGACATATGTACAGATACACACATGCACATACACACACACATGTACATGCATACACAGACACATGTACATACACATGTACATACGTACGTACATACATACACAGATACATGTACATACATACACAGACACATGTACATACACATGTACACACAGATACATACATACACATGTACACACACACATGTACACACACACAATGTACAGATACACATGTACATACGCACAGACACATGTACATGCATACGCAGACACACACATGCACACACAAGCGCACACACACCCTGTAAAAAGTTGCAGTACTTCGTTGTTCACTCACAGATCCGGGTACTGCATATAGGGGGAGGCAGAGAGCACAGCACACACTCCTTGCTTTGCTTTCACTGCGCTCAGCTATTGAGCAGTCTGACGCCTCCCAGTGCCAATGACAGTTCCAGCCTGAGCTCCGAGCCTGCTCAGCAAGACGGCCCTGGGGGACACACTCGTCCCCACCATAATTTCCACTCACCGTTGGCGAGCAGGCGAGTGGAAATTTCAAGCCCTGTCCTAGAGGGGAGATTCTTCTATCCGCGCTATCAAGCAGTCATGGGAGGAATTGATAGAATTTCCTCTTTCAGGAGGCAGGGCTGAACAAGAACATTCTTACAGCTTAAGGACCGGTTCACACCACATGCAGTAGAGTGTGCTTTGTTTTTCTGCGTCAACGCATGGATATTAGGTTATATGGTTTCCAGTGGCATAGTTCACACCAGTGTAGTCAGTTCCAGTTCCAGAAAAAATAAAGTTAAACATGCTGTATTTTTTTGCACTAAATCATATTGAACCACGGTAAAAATGCACCGGAATTCATATGCCGTTATTTATGGCGAAGAGGGGAAAAAACGCTTTAAAACGTGTAAAAAAAAAAAAGTGCATGCAGAAACGCATCCAGAATCCATCCAGACTGCATTTCTATGGTGTGAACCAGCCCGTAAGCTGAATTCTATGCACTACAGTTTTTATTTAAATACATTCCTCAATAGCTAGAGGATAAAAATCTGCTTTGTGTGCAACAAACATCTTAAAAACGTACATATTACCATATAAAATTAGCAGTGACCTCATCGCTGTGCTGCACAAATGCATGCAATGAGTAGAGCTGTGGGAGGGGCTGAGCAGGCCACACCCACTACGGGGGTGGATACAAGACCAGTCACTCTACTCAAGGAAAAAGAGCAGCAGTGAGCAGTCTTTATTACAAGAAGCTCGCACACTGACACAAAGGGGTTGGTTTACTAAGACCGGCCATACATGGGTCAATTTTTGAACGATTTTTCTTTTGAAAATTGGACCTAAGAATAATCGGCTGATTCTCGCTCCATTAGTGGGGCAATGGCACCGGCTGATTTTCGTGGTTTCTCCCCATTTGGTTTTCGGGCATGCTGGAAAATTCATGAAAAATGATTGATTTTCTAAATCATCGGTGGCACCATTTGATTACAGAACTAATGATCGAAAAATTGTTTGGAATTCGACCCATGTATGGCCTGCTTTAAACTGGAGCAATCTGGTGCAGTTGTGCATGGTAGCCAATCAGCTTCTAACCTCGCCTTGTTCAATTAAGCTTTGACAATAAAACCTGGAAGCTGATTGGTCTCTATGCAGAGCTGTACCAGATTTTACGTGCTCCAGTTTTAGTAAATAAAAAGTTTCACATTGAATAACTGCACAGACCTGGAAGAAAAACACACACACCCAGATTTCATGAAGAATACGCATGACTCTTGTATACGGCATATCCCAGAGTTCAGCTTTAAATGCATTCTGTACATCCTATATTTAAGGATTTGTTTTTCTGCTTGTGATATGCTAGCGTTTCCACTTTATGCAGCTTAGGAGACTGGATCAATGGGTATTTGCTTCTTTGCCAGATATCGCTGACAACCACTTGACAGGTTTTTAAATTTTTTCCAAAGAACGTGAAGTTATTCAGGCCTGCCATGTATCTGCTATAAAATGAAAGCAAATCCAAAAAGCAGAACATGGCAAATGAAACAAACCCGCTGCATCCAGGAAACAGGATAGAACCCAGTGGTATAATCAAGGATGAACAATCAGATATACTCAGGGGCGGACTGACCATTGGGGAACTCGGGCACTGCCCAAGGGCCCGGGGTCAGTAGGGGGCCCCATGAGATTTTCCTGGTACCTTTTCATAGGCTTTTTTTTGGGTGTGATTTGAGTGTGGGCGAGGACACGGGCCCCATGATCCCCCATTGCCCAGGGGCCCATGAGTGGTCAGTCCGCCCCTGGATATACTGTCTATGTGAATGATGGGGGGGGGGTTCAGCAGACCAAAATGAAAGTGGAATGTTCTGTACACATGCCCATAGCAACAGCTGGTGCCACTACTTACCCCTCCAAACCCACTTCAAATAGCTTTACTCCAGCAGCAGAACTCTGGGATTATGTGCACAAGTGCATTTGTCAGCTGTGTTAACTCTTTAAGTGTGTATATTTAATTTTTTTTTTTTTTGCTGGAAAAAAGAGATCAGTATCACAGATTTAGCATAAACAAATCAAACTGCGCAAATTTCCAGTTCTTCTGGTATACAAAGCTGCAAATACTTAAGAGGATATCCTCTCTTCTCACAATAAAATAAAAATATTGTGCTCTGTGTAACACATTCTAAAAAAATTAAACACACATATTCATTGTGAGACCACTCATACCAATGAAAAGTGATCAAAATAGTGAAAAAATATATATAAACAGTAACATGTATAGTCCATGCAAAAGACAAGTCCGTGTGAATATAGGGCTCCACAATCGATTAATGAAGCTAATCTCCAGTTCCATAAAGGTGATGTTGTTCCTGTGAATCCTGTTGCATCCAATTAATCGACAACAAGTGCATCACCACCATGTGAATAAATGGAGGCTTACCAGATGCAGAGACCCCTTAACTATAGGGGGTCTTTACCAGCATTGTGTTGTAAGATATCATCCAGATTTCCATGCTATGTCAGAATCAAAGATCTCACAAATCTCGCAAATCAGAATGTAAACTACACAGGCATCAGTGAGTCTTCCCATTGCGATACCAAAATAGTATCATGGAAGATAAAGCATACCTCTCAATATGTTTGATAAGCCTTTATTTGCGCAACTAAAAATCCTACTTACAAGCTTAGGAATAATAAAAAGCATTCAAAACCTGCTTCCAAAGATGGCCGACAGCGCAAAGACGTCAGAGGGAGGCTCTTCCCGACATGTTTCGTCACCAAAAGACCTCTTCCAGGGTGGAGGGCATCTCTGAAAAGGGATTAAGTTGATGTGTATGTGAGTACTGATCTGTATGATGTTAAGCCTGTGCAGTCTCAGCCTGTCATAGACTTTGACAGATTGCAGGAAGTGGACTGGACGCTGCACTTGGCCCTCCTAGGCACAGTGCAACTGGATGCCCCTGTGTGCAAATGGCTTAATTACACCCATAGATGATTAATTTCCTTTTGTTCAACCAGCGGGCTAAAACTAAAGAGAATTAATTGATTCCACCATCCACGCAATCAGTGTGGGTGGGTGAATCCCTCCCATAGAGCTGTTTGTATTCTGACAGTAGGGAGGCTTCCCCACTGTCAGAATACACTCATCAGCACTGGCGTCACTGATCGAGCAAACATTTTCCAACAGGCTAGTTGTATAGAAGTTGATCGAAAGATCAACTTCTGTAGAACCAGTCTGGCCATAGGTGGATCAAAATTTGCCCAGTCGCTGCTGAACTAGCCAAATTTGGATCCATCTATCATATCTCAAGCCAAAATGTCTTTTAGGTTTGGGTAAAGTAGAGAACGTTTTTAAAACCTCTGTCACATCTTTGTTTTTTTTTTGTTTTTTTTTTTGCTGTCTGTGGCTTGGTGGAATTTCTCTATATTGCTCGCCATACACATGTCAACATTTAGCAAAAACATTTACATGTGCACTGTATAAAATGAGCCCCAACTTGTGGTCTCAGATGCAGCTGTGTTATATTTTTTTACACTACTGTGTGAATGGGACCAGAGACTAGTATACATATGTGCACAAAAATGTACGCTATGTGCAGTGTGAATCACACCTATGTGAATAAGCCCTAATATTGAACACACAAGTCTGCATCTATACTTAGGCCCAAATTTGAATCCCATAGTGCAGCCTTCACATCTCCTCTTCTAGTCACCAAGAGCTACATAGTACAGAATTTCAGTTCCCATCCTTCATAGACTATATTCTTGTTCAGGCAGCAATATATTCCTCTCCTTTAAATGTTTGGAGTTTGTCATTTGCATCTCTTTATTATTTGACGTACAGTACTGCAGAATATTTGTGCTTCATAAATAAAGGATGTTGATGCTGATAATAAAATAGGATGGTCTTACTGAAACCAATAGGAACACATTGGAAAAGCCAGAATTTCAGTTGAATTCACTTGTCTGCAATACTCCATAAGTAATTGGCACTTCAAAATGTATACATTAAAGTGGAAGCAAACCCAATTTTGTATCTTTTACCTACAGGTAAGGCTTACCTGTAGGTACTGTAAATATCTCCTAAATGTGCACCCTTTAGGAGATATTTACTGTAGAAGTGCTGGTGATGTCACTGGCATATGTGCCGTCAATGGACGGCATGACGTCCATTGAGAGAGCCGTGCCATGGCCGAAGTCTGCCGTGACTTGGCCACCGCTTGCCAACCTGGAAGGAAGACCAGATGAAGATGAAAGCCCTGGGGAGCTGTGACAGCGCTCTGTTGAAGGGCTTCGTTTTCAGTGAAGTCTTTCATAATGTGTTAGTATGGAATGCATACACGCACATTATGCTCTTACCTTGCAGGGAAAAGGTTTATTTGATTTTTTGTTTTTTTTGTTTTTGAGGTTTCCTACTGCTTTGCCCTCCAAAGGATTTACCCCCCTTCCTGACCAGGCCATTTCTTGTGATACGGCGCTGCGTTACTTTAGCTGACAGTTGCGCAGTCATGCAACATTGCACCCAAATAACATTTACGTCCTTTTTTTCCCACAAATAGAGCTTTCTTTTGGTGGTATTTGATTGTCTGTGCGCTTTTTATTTTTTGTGCTATAAACAAAAAAAACTGCCAATTTTGAGAAAAAAAAAACAATATTTTTAACTTTTTGCTACTAAACATGTCCCGTAAAAAAAAATTTCAAAATCCAATTTCGTTATAAATTTAGACCTAAATGTATTCTGCTACATGTCTTTGCTAAAAAAAATCCCAGTACGTGTAAATTAATTGAAGGTTATAGCGTTTACAAATTTTATTTTTTACTAGCAATGGTGGCAATCAGTGACTTATAGTGGGACTGCAGTGGGTATTCTGCAACTGGGGGGAACTGACTTGGTGTCACTGACATCCACAGTGACACCAATAGAATGATCAGTGCTAATAAAAAGCACTGGCAGTGTACTAATGGCACTGGGCAGGAAATGGGTTAACATGTGGGGCGATCAAAGGGTTAACTGTGTGCTGTTTCACAGTAAGCTGTGTGTGTGCTTCAAACTGTATGCACACTGC